ATATATATAGGCTCAGGAGGACGTATAGTGTACACAGTTGCGTAGCTGTGTGTGTATCTAGCACGTGCACTGTCCTGGCGTATGTATCACTTCTAATAAAATGCTACTTGTGCATGTATGAGCTGATATCATCATCATTTTACATGCATAAGTCATTCACTGTATTAGCTCAATTGTACCCCTAGACTGTCTATGCCAAAATCAAAGCTGTATTCTGGATGTGTATCGTATGCTGTACATCGAGCATGGTGCAGACACATTCGTCATCACATCGCTAAAGCTGTATATAGGTGTCAGCGATACCATGCCACGCGTATTAAGTTATTAAACATGAGTACATACATTCATGCATACACTTGGGTATACAATTGAGTTTGAAAACGTACACCAACTCTTCTAACTCCCTACCTACCAAGCTGTGCGTTGTTTGCCTGGCTGACTCCTGACTCCCAAACCCTAACCCAACCCTATATACCCTGAGCAGGGATCAACCTTTCCGATGTGTTCAATACCCGAGGGACTACTGTCTCACCCATCAACGACATCGTGGACGCGTACTATGTGTGCAAACATCACGTGGGCATGACGATCTTAAAGCAACAGGAACTAGCCGAGGCGCAAAGCACAAGCGGGTTGGATGGGTTTAAGGAGGATGTGGAGTAAGACTGCTTGCTAGCAGTTTAGCGCGTGCATACACCTTGTATCCTGCAATAAATTTAGGAGGCTGGGTGTGTATATGTAGACCTTGACTAAAACTACTAAACTCTTAATACAATACATAGTTCGTAAATATCTCTCCGTGTTTGCAAAATAATTACCACTCCGATAAAAGTAATTATCAAATCAGAGGCAGATCCGTATCGTTAGGATTCGCTACATTTCGCTGTTAAGGTTGCCCTCCAGATGTGCCAGTTTTAGTCTTATCACGTGTCTGGTTTCATGACGGTCCCAGCCTGCAAGTACTTCTCAGCTCTCGTCAGAATATAGAGCACAGCTATAGCCTAAAACAGAACATGTTCCGCCTCAGCGCGAGTGCCAAGTAGTGTGTGTCGTTATCCTCGGAGCCCAATCTAAATCCGTTGGTGAATAACCGACCCAATCTATACCTGTTGGAGAATAACCGACCCAATCTATACCTGTTGGAGAATAACTGACCCAATCTAAATCTATTGGTGAATAACCGTCCCAATCTATACCTGTTGGTGAATAACCGTCCCAATCTATACCTGTTGGTGAATAACAGACCCAATCTATACATGTTGGAGAATAACTGACCCAATCCAAATCTGTTGGAGAATAACAGACCCAATCTATACCTGTTGGAGAATAACAGACCCAATCTTTACCTGTTGGTGAATAACCAACCCAATCTATACCTGTTGGTGAATAACCGACCCAATCTATACCTGTTGATGAATAACCGACCCAATCTATACCTGTTGGTGAATAACAGACCCAATCTATACCTGTTGGTGAATAACAGACCCAATCTATACTTGTTGGTGAATAACCGACCCGATCTATACCTGTTGGTGAATAACAGATCCAATCTATACCTGTTGGTGAATAACAGACCCAATCTATACCTGTTGGTGAATAACAGACAGCATAAATGCACTCCGAAACATCTCACCTCAGAAGTACACGGCCACCAAACTGACCACAGTTAGGATGTAACCTGGCTATTTATTTACTTGTACCTAAGGTGTTCTTTTATATGTGATACCTCAGTGTATCTCCGGCGCCTGCTATATACAATTACAGCAAGGGAGAGAATGCACCTCGTGTATACCCTACCGAAGTACGAGAACATCTCTCACGGCCTCAGGGTTACGCTAGGCGTGTGAATCCCATGGCGTGGATGTTGTGAGTGCAGTGGCGGGTATGAAGTGTTCCATGTATGAGGACTCGTGCGGCTCTAGAGGTTGCGCATGCGATATTCAAATCACCTTATACGTTGCTGGGATGCCGACGACTCCGCACCTTACACCTAACATGCCTAGCAATTCGCCAAGATGCATATGTGTACGCAAACACAGAATGAGGTGTTCAAGACGATCGAGAACTATAAACTAGCGCGCCAATACACAAAACGTATGTGCGACTTTACATACGTTGGTCTCCATCTTGTACACAGACTAATATTTTTTTCTGAAGGGTTCAATTTCCTTATGAGATAACGGGGGAATCAGGTGTCAGCCTCCTTCTCTTCAGTGGGACCATCTGGAGGGATAAGCACTCCACTAGGGGTCCGGTACAGTTAAAGTCTTTACGCTCAACCAACCCACTTAAGCATGCTGCACTCAAGAATCTATGGGAAGTCGGAGGATGGAAATATAAAGCCTACATCTCTAAATAGCACATTCAGGGCCAGCCAGACAGTCTTGGGGTACCCAAATGCAGCCTTGTTGTGCCCCTGGTCGCACTACCACCCACCCGCACTCTACATACCCTGTGCAAACCCTAGAAACCCAACTGTAGCTCTCACCTCGCTACACGGGGTTTGCACTTGAGAACCTATCGGCACAGCAATTGGTGTACATCGACACAGACACCGGGAAGTCGGAGAATAGGAAGGTCAGACCCACCTTTTTGAACAAGACATCTAGCGCCAGCAAGACATCTTCATGCTGCCCAAAGACAGCCTTGTCGAAGACCTTGTCATAGTACCACCCACACGCACCCAACATGCCCTCGGAGGCGACTGCGTTGTGTATGCCATGCTGGTGATTGGACGACATGCACCCTGACCGTTCAAGTGACCACGAGCCAAGGAAAGGCCTCTGCATGTTTATATTTTTAGGTTAAAGAGGTTTGGGTTTAGGTTGAGATATACCCGTTTGTGTCAAGGTAGATGGGTTTAGGTATAAGGTGATTGAGTTCAGTTCTAAAGAATGTGTTTAGGTATATGTTGAATTATTGTAGGTCTAAGGCTGTAATGTGAATGGTTTTAGGCCTAAGATAGATGGGCTTAAGTTTAAGGTAAATGGGCTTAAGTCTAAGGTCGATGGGTTTAGGTCTAAGGTGAATAGGCTTAAGTCTAAGGTGAATGGACTTAGGTCGAAGGTGAATGGACTTAAGTCTAAAATTGATGGGCTTAGGTCTAAGGTGCATGGGCTTAGGTCTCAGGTGAATGGGCTTAGGTCTAAGGTGAATGGGCTTAGGTCTAAGGTGAATCAGCTTAAGTCTAAGGTGAATAGGCTTAAGTCTAAGGTTGATGGGCTTAGGTCTATGGTGAATGGGCTTAAGTGTAAGGTGCATGGGCTTAAGTGTAAGGTGAATGGGCTTAAGTTTAAAGTGAATGGGCTTTAAGTCTGAGGTGAATGGGCTTCGGTCTAAGGTGAATGGGCTTAAGTCTAGGTTGATGGGATTAAGTCTAAGGTGAATGGGCTTAAGTCTAGGTTGATGGGATTAAGTCT